AAGGTCTAGTTGGAAGTGATGCTTTTTTCGTACAGTGTTTCTTTGGAAGCTAATTTTCAGTCTACCGGCCTGCTCACCGTAACTGCGTTTTCACATTACCTTAGATACAAATATGGGCACATGGAAAACTTATTTCTCACATGTACGTCAGTCTGTCTACTTTAATGGAAACATAGCTGCGATGAAATAGCAGCAGTTGTGCATCACGTGTACGTTCCTCGGAGAACGTGATGTCCATTTTTGTACCACAGTAGACCCTGTACGTAACGGTAACTTCAGTGCTACGGCTAAACATCGGTCAGTACAGAGCCCACAGGCATCTAGTTTTCCGCGAAATATTCTGTCCTCAAACATTGACTAGAATGTATCGATCGTTCAAGTATCCGTAATCTGTGCCTCATCTCGTGAAGCGCTGTGTAAGTTACGGTACGGAGACCCTGCAATTGGTGCGTAGTACATCGTGTGAGATCCGATTGTATCTCCGGACTGCCGTTAGAATTCCTTGAGGTTTTCTCAGGGCGCGCAATGTGCGGCAATTTACGATGCGTCCATGACAATCGGTAGACACATTCCGGCCGCAGTGTATCTACGTGAGGCTGTGACCACCCGCTATCGAGTTTCTTTAGACCCACCTCAAAAGCTGAAAATATCCATTTTCTTCCATTATCGTTTTGTAGAATACAATACATGGCTTGCTGCACTGTGGTCTTAGTCTTTTGTTATCCCCTATGAATTTGCTCTTTCTCCTTAGGTAAATTGCACGCTTGCAGCGGTGGTCTTGTGATCCTTTTTTCTGAACTGCGTACCTCATTGGCCATGCCCTCTTTTAGGTGCACGTCTTACTATTGTTCACCAAATTGTTTATCCCCTCTGTGAACGACCAGCATCGAAGCTTTTACCTGTATTGTGAGTGTAAGTAGAAATTTGAATCTATACAACATCAAAATATTAGCAAAAAAACGTCAAAATGAAACATATGACTTATCAATACGCTGATGGTTTTTCACGTCCTCATGTTATATTTTTAAACAAATTAGGATTAGGATTAAAAAATGCGAGATATGTCTGTGGGTAATCGTTTTCAGAATCTAATTTTTGAGAAGTGTACATCCAATGATCGTTTGAACTGCTGCACTGAGCCCACTTACACTATATGTTCCGGCGAACCGTTCCAGACATTTAACACTCGCCGTTCCAAACACAGGGGATGAGAAACTCGCTTCATATCTGGAACCAATAGCTTGTACTGGTGTCCGAGTGTACTGCAAGGCGTTCGCAAGTTGAGCAATGGAAGTCGCAGTGGGGAAATCGCCTAGATGTAGAATCCGATAGGTCATCATGGGACCGACGCGTAACCGACGATACGCTATGGTGTACAGCCTCAGCCTCTCACAGCTGTCCTCGTACGGTAAGCCTCGCAAACTGGCGATGAGCGTAGTAGCGACTTGTTGAACCCGTTCAATCTTCTACGCCTTGCCTCGAGTGTTCGGGCACTAGGCACGTGAACCGTACTCTACCATTGGTCTGATGATGGAGGAGAACAGGCGAGTGGCGACCTCTTCAGATCAAGTGCAGAAACTAGGTTTAAGTGCTTAGAGCACACACCCTCCGATACGAAATAGCCTCTTCGCGTTGTTCGTGGACTTCAAGTCGCCGCGTGAGAGTAATCCTGTGTTCTTCACAAAAGATGTAGGCTGTAACAGTTAGTCGTCGAGAGTATAGGCTCAGCCGTCAGCACCCTTCCCCAGGCTCATGAACATCGACTTGGATGGGTTGACCTGGTGGCGGACTTCTGCAGACCAAATGGAAAGATGGTTTAGGTCTTGTTGATGCAAACCGCAATTATCGGGTGTGCTTATCACTCTCCACATCTTCAGGTCTTCTACAAACATGGCATATGATGACCAAAAAAGCTTATGTAAGTCTTTGATATTAATCTGGAACAATGTAGGCCTCAGCACCGTGCCTTGGAGTACGACACTGGTCGAAGGATACTAGTCGGTCAGATGGTGCTATTTGTACCCTCTACTTTCGTCCAACGAGAAGATCCTGGATCTACCAGTGCAGAGACCCACCAATACCACACACTCAGTTTGAAGAGGAGGATCTCACGGTTCACTTTGTCAAAAGCTTTGCTGAACTCGATGTAGATCACGTCGGCAGACTTTCCACAGTTCGCCGCTCGCAACCATTCATGCCTCATCACGAACAGATTGGTGATACATGAACGACGTGGCATGAAACCGTGCTGTGCGTGCGTCAAACCTTTTGACCGAAAAGGCTGTAGCAAACTCGTCCTCACAATTCTCTCGGTAGCCTTAGCCAATATAGGCGTCGAACAAATTGGCCTATAGTTGTCAACTTTGCTTGGATCACAGCCTTTCGGAATCGGCCTTGCCACTGAGCGGGTCTAATCAATCAGTAATGTACCTTCGGACATAGACCTGTTGAACAGTTCAGTTACGGCAGGCTAGATGATGGTCAGTAAGGACTTGAAAGTCAGGGGACGGAGCCCATCCGGTCTATCAGGCTTAGACACCGTCAAGATTGTCACCGCGAAGGCGGATGCACGCTCACTACTTGAGGTTAGGGGATGTCCACCTCTTTTATCACTGGTGAGTTACCTGTCGGCCTCGGGCGCCGCTTCATGGTCACAAAGATTCTCTTCGGGGAAGTTTTCTCTTCGGTTGTAAGCTGCTCTTCGAACTGCCTGCGCTTGTTCGTTTCCACACCGTTGCAGATATTTCGCTACTTCCTGTACACCTCAGAGTGGTCGATCGCACCGAACCAGGGAGTTTGTCCCACAGCCTGCGCCGCTGCCGAGGCAGCTTACTATATTTCTTGTCGAATCAATGTGCCTTGACCGGTCCGACTTTCCGACACTTGAGAGGCACAATTTGGCTGAACAATGAATTTATTCCATTATAACTGACCAGCAAGCTTCAGCAGATGCGGATTGCGGCAGTAACCATTCCACTTGACTCGTAGACTATATGACTTAGTCCATCTGTCAGTCGGTTTAATTTGGCTATGTCACCGCACCTGGTAAACACCAGGAAGACCCCAGCGACGTTTGGCTGTAGCGCATTCGGATGACTGTTCTGATCAACACTACTTCCCCTTATTTTAATCCACTAACTCTAGACAATGATGTCCTCCGCACGATCCAACCAGTCGTTGCTTGTGTTCATGTGTGTTCTTCGTTCACAAACCGCGAATGTCATGCCAGTTCCCCCTTCATTCCACCTCTTATTCGTCCGTATAAAAATGTGACTATGAGTTTTAGCTATCACTATATTCAACTTTGTGTCCCATGCTGAGGCTGATGTTGCATTTATGATGCTTCTTCACCACAGTTGGACTAAATCAGCTTACACTTAAACTAGATCTTTTTAATGTGGATAAAATTCACTCCACTTTATTTGCTTTGTTCTGGGTACTTGATAATCTTCTCCTAACTTGCACATATCACTCATGCAAATTGTCGTAATCTTGCATAACCTTATCACGTAGTAATTTTTAAATAACTTTCGGACGTTTGGTACTTATCGCGGATTCGCTTACAACCAATTTACCGCAAACACTCACTTAGCTAACATTTATGTCGTCATATACGTTGACTTTATTCGATATCTTTTATTTGATACCGGCATTTCGAATGATTGGCTGTTGTTTGACATCCCAAGTGTGGCTGCGCTTGATGTGCATGTTGACAAGGTGCCTACCCGTCTATTACTCACTATCTCCTTCATACTGGTTCCGGGGAACAGTTGGTCGTTGCTGGAGGGGACGGGGTGCACGGTCGTTGTGGCCGTGTTAGGCTCGAAGAGTGGTTCCACGCACTCAGTGCGGAGCGTACTACGGTCCAGCCACCGCCTTGTGTGCGTTTGACTCCCCAAATACAGCGTGCTTGTGTTTGCCTGTGAAGGAGTGCGGGCCGGCTCTGTTGATGAAGCGTGGCCCCCATCCACATGCCTTCCGGTCTTATTCCTTCGGGTTTACACTGGATATGGGGTTTGTGGATGGAGCTGTGGGTGGTGCAGCGCAAGCCATCCATGGTCCCTCTGTAGGCGGAGGCGTCCTGTGACTGGCCACAATGACAGACAATTCCGAAACCGGATGTTGCCAACCATATTCAACTTTACATTCTGTCTTGAATATCCTCTGTGTCATCTCAGATGCCTACCTACTGCGAGATGTTTTTCACACAAGATTCACAAAATAGGTTTTTGTGTTATTCGTAGAAGTTCATCACATTTGGACCCACTTAGACAGCCATCACACGCTCGGGAAGCCATATGGAATGCGCATTGCTGACGATTCGCCAACGGACCATACAGTGCTATTCCGGGCGTGTGATGGCTATCTGACTGAAGTTAGATGTGATGAACTTCTACCATTCAAATCTCCCTACTACTACTACTCTTCTGTAGGTTTATTCACTTTTAACACCTCCCGGGGTCACAGCCCACCTTGGCTCTATCATTTTGGCTTTTGCCGCATTCGTTCCCTCGCCCCTGATAGGTCGTCTATGAAATTGCGTTTCTCCCTCTATGTGCTCACTTCTACCCTCACGATCGGTGTATGTTCACTAGTGGGTCTCGCGCTTGTTAGACATTCACAACTGCATCGTTGATATTCGTGACTGTCCCGTTCACGGGATTGTGTTTCACGCACACACCACAGTCGTTCAGACTCAGACCGCTTACCTCTCATGACTCTCCTTTCATGTGGTTGGCTGATTGCTCTTAATTGATCTTTGTGCATTATGTTTGCTCAGGCATGTCCATTTTTCCATACAACTCATCCAGCACGATGATGTTCTTGCTTCCCGTTCGGAGTGGGTTCTCTTACAGTCAGAGGTTATACTAAGACACCCACCGGGGTCACAGCCTACCTTGGCTCTATCATTTTGGCTTTTTCCGCATCCACTCCTTCGCCCCTGACAGATCGCTTATAAAATTGCGTTTCTCGCTCCATGTGCTCACTTCTCCCCTCAGGGTCGGTGTGTATTTGCCAGTGGGTCTCCTTTTAGTCCCGTCGAACTGGATGTCGGAGGCAGGCGGCAAACATTCGTCCCTGGTCAATGCAACAATTCTTACATCTTCCCCGGTGTCGGCCTGGCCATCACTGCGTGCAATATACGTCCGGTGCTCAATGGGCTCTTTGTCCGAGCAGCGCAGGTAAGCTGAACCTTAGTCGTTTGTCCCAAGCCCCCTACCCAAAGTGAACTATTACGTTGGCCAGGTATGTATTTCTCCGAAGCATTGCTTTGGGTTGCGCTCCCTTTGTGGCACTGTGTGGCCTAGAAACCATACGCCGGTATCTGACCGGCCAACTCAGTGACTGACTCGGCAAGACAGCAGCCTATTACATTGCTTTGCTCGGTATAATTGAATGCGATTTTCAATAACGCTCTGGCCATGGGTTTCCTATGTTCCTGTTTCTCCCAACTCAGTCTCGCGTGTTCCAGTACGAGATACCGGTTGGATCGCTTTCGATTTTAAGCTCAAAATGAAATGTCCACACATTTGTAGTGTTTGCTCTCCAGCTCGGATGAACGTTGCTTCCAATGATGGATTGAGATGCTCACAGTTTAAATTACGAATACACTCCACGACCCGCTCGCACCGGGCTACAGAATGTTTACATTTACTGACCTTATCATCTTACTACCGTGAAACTAGCGCGCTAACAGAAGAGCAGCATTTGTTCAACTCAGTATTCCTCAATGAATATTTGCGCACGTCCACTGGGAGACGCATTGCTTGCACATCTAACCTCCCTTTAGCTTGCGCGAACGACGAAGAGAGGAGCATGACGGCCAGGTTGTTCAAACAGCAAGGCCACAACTAATGTGTCAATAATCAACTGCTACTTTGAGGAAAGTCCCCCCAGTGCCAAAGTGAATACTCGTATCCCACGAACGACAAGTTGTTGCACCCACCATCATGTGGGCCGAACAGTAGAGAAACTATCCACATGAGTGCAGGAGCACCAAAAGGTCTGCGAGAGACATTGTGCACTCTCGTTTGTCTCAGCACATGCGCATGTAGAATATACGAAAGACTGCTGGTAAATTCCTGACTTTAACCGGAAAGAAGAGCGCTAGAGTTATGACACATTGATTAAACATGTTTACCCTTCAGCCTGATGCAATTGTGACACAGCATGTTTGCAGTTTTTTTACACCTGTGTGGTAAAATCCACTTGGTTATGCCTCAAACCAGCTGTCAGCAGCATGTTTGACGTCGGAAATGTTTTTAGAACCTCGTCCCTTCACATGTCTCTTTGAGTTCGGGAAGAGAGATACTAATCTGATGGGGTCAGATCAGGTGACTAGGGAGATGGGGAACTAATTGGAAACCCGCGGTGTTCAATTTGGAAGCTTCAACTCGTTTCTGTTTTTGTGATCACTGGTCAAACGGTTCGGCAGCCACTTTGCTGAAAGCTTCAGCATGTCCCCGATAGCAGAGATAACAAACCCAGCACGCTCCCGTGATCTTTCCAGCATCATGGTAATCCTTTTAGCAAATATTCGCCAGTCCTCAATAATCAGCTCATTGACAGCCTCTCAGATTGCTGCGTCAGTTGAGGATTGGGGGCGGCCACTACGGGGCTCATCTTGAACGTTGAAATGATCCGTCTTAAAATGAAATATCCAGGTTTCGGCAATGTTGTCCGTAGGACATTTCTCCCACAGTGCTTGTAGTGTCTCGTTGGTAATTTCCTTCGCGGATTTTTTCTGGCGAAATCAAAACCTCACGATGACCCGTAACTCAAAGGACGTGAAATATACTTCTGCCCCTACCATCAGCTCCTACGTAAAAAATAACCAGTTTGTTGGAATCACAAACACTTGTATTTGCACAGTTATATACTAACATATTACGATATATGTCCGTATACTGTTTTCCGATTTTATCTTGAAGGGATCATAGCCAGGAATTTACCAGCCTCCCCCCCCCATAAATTTCTTTTAATTGCAACTACATCATGACCCACGAGGCAACATTAAAGTAAAGAGTTTCTGTCAAAGCGTGATTCAGCATGACGAACTCTCTAGGCACCTGCATCAAGATCTACCTGGTATACCAAATGCTTAGGCGGATAGAAGTCCAACGACTTCAAGCCATCATGTGCACCCACTAAGCTGCCTACAGAACAACTATTGCACTGGCCGGAGTTAGTCCACTCCCCCACCAATCATACGCTTTTTGCACCCAAAAAATTGCGACCAGTCGTATCAATAAGCTTACGACCAGTTGAAATCACTAAAGCCCAATAGAGAACTCAACTGAACAACCAATCAACACGATTTCCTACTACGGTCTGCAATGAATGTAGTGGCCTGCATTTACCATAAGCTTTATCCATGATTGTGCGTTACTAATGTCAACTCTTCTATGATAATTGGTATATACTCAACTAGGTAAAGCACGGCTCAACTTCGGAATGGTTTTACAAAATTGCTGTACAAAAACACTTGTGGTCCCAATTCCATTGATTTTGTTTCAAAATTCATCGGAATCCACGACGATTGCGAAACTTTCAGATACGTTTAGGCGGTTGGTTGAGAACAAAAAGCAAAATAACCAAGTTTAGGAGGTGAGTGTGACAATATGTACATGGAAATGTAAGTTAGGAATTCATAACATTGGTATATAACACTAATTTATAAATAGTGAAAGTTGGTGGTCTCAGTGTTCGCTGAGCTCGTCAGGTTGACTGCAAACGTTTCGTCACCACTCGAGGTGACATCGTCAGTTCGCGTGTAATTAGCAGAGTGGCGCGTAGGAAGCGCTTCGTACGCGCTATTAATTACACATACACTGACGATGTCACCTCGAGTGGTGACGGAACGTTTACAGTCAACCTGCCGGGCTCAGCGAACACTGAGACCACCAACTGAATAACCTGAGCTACCAACCTTTGCTTCCATATCGCAAATAGTGAAAGTGTGTGAACAGACACGATAACACGACAGACGGTAAAACTGAGAACTGCATCCATCATGAAACGAATCAATTAGATCTAACTACTTACACAAGTGGTAAGATGGGATAACACAACGCAAATAGAATTGCATACATAAATTAGGTGGGTTAGTTGCGGCCATCGACAATTCACTCTTTCAATGGGTCCATGTCTTGCAGGCACTCAAGACTTTCACCTAGCTGTGGAATAGAAAGGAAGCACTATATGAAGGCTAAGGAAAAAGCTTGCTTATCCAACCCACCAATGTGCGCATAGTTTTTAAATGCCATCAGTGGGTCTTCAAGCTAAGTAGGAGCACAGTGAGAAACTGTTTAGATGAAGAAAAAATCAAAGATAAATCCCATCTATCCAACTCATCGATGTGCCCATGTTTTCATAGGTCACCAACGGGCCATCAATCTGAGTAACACGAAGAATATAACAGTATAGACAAAGAGAAAACCAGATATAGATCTCATTTATCCAAGCCATCGATGTATCAGTGTTTTCATAGGCTACCGCTGGGTCATCAGTTTGTAATAATACCGAAGGATGTGACAAAGTAGGAGGAAGGAATGCGAGACAAGTTTAAGTTACCTAGCAAGAAAAATTCATGACACGGTATTTCACGTTGTGTCAGCAAGCCCTTCTCGCCATCTTTATCTCTACTTTTATATTGCGAATTCCACAAGTACTTGGATGTTATCAGGCCCGTTCTCGTACACCCATTCGTCTGTGCAACTGACACGAAACAGTTCTTTAACTTTATTAACAGTTAAGTACTCTTTTATTTGCATCTTAAATGTTCGAAGCGAAGATGTACTTCCGATGGTAATCTATTCCATAACGTGGGATATTTGTGTGTAAAGCTGTTGTACCGCAGACGTGTGCGGCAACGAGGTACTTTTATCACATAGTCTTTGTTTCTTAGGTCATACGGTGAATTCTTGGAATACCGGCTGATAGTAACTAGCGTATGTCAATTCGGAATAATAGACATAAATTCAGTCTTAATCTTCGAAGTCATAGCGGTTCGATTTTTGACAAACGACATCTATCTTTATAAGTGAGCTTAAAGGTGCAGCCCATGATTCTTATGGTAAGTGATCTTTGCATAGCTTCCATTGCACTCGTGTTACATCTTCTAATGCTACTAAAAGTGATGGCACAGTATTCTAATAATGGTCTGGCCTACAGTTTTAATGACAGGAACTTAATATCGCATGTTCTAAAAATGCGACCTATCATTCCAATAGTCTGTCGTGTTTTAGCCACCGTATACTCAACTTGTTTTTTGAAATTCAACGAACCTGAGTACCGGAGACCTAAGTCACATCTCGATTCACATAAATGGATTGTGCTTCCATGCAAAACAACCATTCAGGTGGAACCAAGCGTCCATAGCACATAATGCTGCATTTAGATGTTGAAATTTCATGGAAGATCCGACACACCAGTCTTCCAAGGAAACTAGGTCACTTTGGGTCGCGGATATAAAAGACGGAGATTGAGAATCAGTGGCATGCAAACTTTTTTATATCATCTGTGAACAAATTAGGTCTATCGTGACTTATTGCAGCGAGAAGATCATTTACATATATCAAAGAAAGAAAAGGGCCGAGTACACGAAACGCTTGCAACCTAATTACCGAAATAGCCAACCCGAGCTGACGGTGTTTCGTACCATTTGCTCTTACTAACTCTGTCAATACTGATTACTGAATACTGTATTGAGAGCTCAAGTAGAAATTTAACTCTGTACAACAACTCTATCGAAATGTGATCAGAAACGTTAACAGAAAAATATCTATGGCCTATCAACACCCTGATCGTTTTTCACCTCCTCATTTGATATCGTAAAAAACGTGTAACGCGCAGTAAACCGGGACTCACAAATTTGATATGTCATTGGGTAATTGTTCTCGGAATATAACACTAGAGAAATGCACATCCAACAGTGTTTTGAGCTGCTGCGCTGTTTTCTTCCACTATATGCTCCGGCAAACTGTTCCAAACATTGATTGCTCGTCGTTCAAAGCACAGGGGATGGGGAAGTCGCTTCGGAGTTGGAACCACAAACTTCTACTAATGTCCACATGTCCGCGGTTGGAGCAGTGACCTCAGTATGGAGAAGGCACTTAGGTGTAGAATGCGCTAGGTCATAATGATGTCCACTCGCAACCGACGATCGGCCTGAGTGTCAAGTCTCTAGCCTCTCGCACCTGTTTTCGTACGGTAAGCCTTGTAAACTGTGGATGAAAACTTGGGCTACGCACGATTTGCCCGCCACACTCTTGCGATGCTTCCTAATCGCGATATCCCTACATAAATCACTGAATTCCAAAGCAACAGTGTGTGCATTACATCTGTCGCATCCCTGTCCATCGGGTGATTAGGTGAACCACTCAGTGGGGTCTTTAAGCGAAGAAAAGTGGTGGTGTTGTAATCGCAGTGATCGACTGCTTGTTTTCGTAGCGGCCCGTATCATTTAATGATATATTTACTTATGAGATGCTGCTAGCATAGGTAGCGAATGATACACGTGATACAATGCTCTGGTATCCATCCGATTCAAGCAGTCACCGTGGGCCTAGCGAATTCCGCTAACTGGTTTTTCGGTTTTGTTTGGTACAGTTTTCGTAATGGCATCACCAGTAATCTTTTGGGGTCCTGTCAATGTTCAATCCATATGCTATGGGCCGAGCATCCGGCGGTGTTCCGTTTCCCTTGCAGCGCTATGGACGGTACTGGCGTTACATTACATCGGCTTTCGTTGCGCGCTGTAACATAATTGGGCTTGTTTTCCGGTCACTGTCTCAGCATCACCTTTTGCAGTCAATGCAGCTGCAATGCTGCTCCTCCTCCAGCTTCCTCGGCAATCTTGAAGCACTGCATGTTGACATAGGTTTTGTCATAACACATGCGCCTGTCCTACTCGCAATGCGATATTACCACCATTCCACTAATCAGCATAGAGCCACCCAGCCAGTTTGATCTACATTTCTTCATCCACTTAGTGAGGTACCAGTAGCGATATAAAATCCTGCTTGGATAAACGCGGTCCTTACCAGTTAGTTGGATACAGATCCCACCGTATGACTGGATTCCATTGGGGAGCCTCCGTTATGTCATTATGATTGATGTATTTAGCCTAGGTGCCGTGTGAATTCCGTTGCAGTCACCGTTCCTTTGAGATTTTCTCGCATTCCATGATCACCTTCAATTCGAAGTCTCTATCGTAGACTTGGAACTTCTTATACTCCCCAGACACCTCTACCACCTATAGTCCTGCTATCAAGGAATTTTGGAACCCGGACAACCGCATGCATTCTGTCACCCTCATCTGCAACCATCGATTTTCTATTCACATTTTTTCGATCTAAGTCCGTTTATCAATTTTGTATGTTGCTGAACTTTAGAATCTTTTATTTTTGAGAGTTGCTTGGTCTTCAAGCATTGAGTATTATTCAGAATGGCTGCCACAACTTGTTCTATCACTGCTCTTACCACCCTGAATTTAACACCCCGCACGTTGATGTCTATCACCAATCTCTACAATACTTTTGTGTTTAGCTCAAGCTACTCGTTCCCTCACTTCGTTTATCTTTCTCATGGTCTAGTGCCTTGCAGAACAGGTCTCTGAAGCGGATTTACAACTCGGTCGAGTCTTTCCCCCTCTCAGCCTACTCAGAAAGGTGTCTCTGAAGATTGCCGAATGTGTGGCAGAATGTGCCTACCAAAGCGATTTGTGCAATCTGTATCCCAAACCGAAAGATCTACATGAGCATCTCATACAGAATATGTATGATCCGGATTACTTCGAGTACATCCCGGAACTATACGACTGGCCATCAGAGGCGTACGGCTCGGCAAATTGATTGTCGTCTTGTCTGAGTCCGCTAATTCTTTTGTCCACCCTTGCACCCAGGTTTCTAGATGTCATCGTTCTCATCTTCCATCTGATTTACAATATGTGAATTAAAACGGCTTATGTGTCAAGTTTTCCACCTTGCGTTCATCCTTCGTTGCCGCACTTCGCTAAACGTCATTAAGAAGATTTGTTTTAAACTACTTGCAGGTTACAAGTAGCTAAATTATGATATACTAAGCGTGTAGTTTGGGCTGGTGGTGTCGGGGGTGGGGAGGGATCGTACGCCATCATGGTGTGTATATTCGTCCTTGATAGCACGAGTGGCCGATTTTCGCCCTGAAAGGGTACGACGGTGCAATTTTCAGACGGAAACCGGAAAATTTTCGGTAGCAATCACCAAAGCTCTTTTCCATTGATTCCCTCATCACTCTTATTTCCGGACATACAATGTCTTCTTTTGGCACTGTATGTGCATCGTTTCACAAAAGCACAGGTTTCCAAAATAATCGTCGATACGGGTTTTAAAACACTTCACAGAATCGGCCTCTATTAATCCTTCTGGTAGTGTATTCCATAAGTTTACGATTCTTCGTTCGATACAAAGCTGATGTGATACTTTGTTCATGCTGGGGACCCTGAGTTTGTAACGATGTCCTCGGGTGTTACAGGGTTCTCGCAGGTGAAATATTGGCCGTAGTATGGGGAAGTGATTCAAGTGTAGTACTCGATGGGTCATAATAAGATCAATTCTTACTCGGCGATAGGATAGTGTGTAGAGTCCGAGCTTTTCACAACGTTTTTCATATGGAAGCTTTCGTAGACTTAGTATCATTCTAGTTGCGATATGCTGTATTTTCTCCAATTTTTCAGTTTCCCACTGGGTTATCGGATGGCAAGCTGGGGCACCGTATTCAAGGATTGGTCTAATGAGCGAGGTGAATAGACGAGGGACGGTTTCTTCGGACCATGTGGAGAAACTGCATCGTAATGCCCAGTGCATACGAAGTCCCGCACGGTACAATTTCTCTGTATTTTCTAGTGATCTTAAATCATGTCGTGAGAGAACTCCTAAGTCTCTGACAGATGTGTTGGGATGGAGCAACTGGCCGTCCAAGGTGTATGATCGAGTGGCTGGACGTCTGGTGATACTGATAAACTCCGACTTGCTTGCGTTAAGAGGGAGTTGCATTTCAGTGGACCACGTTGACAGTCGCTCTAAGTCATGCTGGAGGCGAGCGCAGTCGTCCTGGTTTTCAATGATCCTCCAGATTTTCAAATCATCTGCAAACAGGACACATGGTGACTGGAGCTGCTGCGGAAGATCGTTGATATGAATAAGAAATAATGCTGGCCCAAGTACAGTTCCTTGAGGCACGCCACTGGTCGATGGGAACCATTCTGTCAGATAGTCATTGACCTGTACTCTAAACCTTCGTCCCACAATAAACTCTTGTATCCACAGAAGTAACGTGCCACCGATTCCGTATGTCCTTAGTTTACGAAGGAGTACCTCGTGATTCACTCTATCAAACGCCTTACTAAAGTCGATGTATACCACGTCAACATCCTTCTGTTCATTGAGAGCTCGAACCCACTGGTGGTTTGCGTACATCAAGTTGATGATGCAGGATCGCCCTTTCGTAAAGCCGTGTTGCGCTGGCGTCAATATATCCATCGATTCGAAGAACGACAGCAGACATTTTTTCACAACCTTCTCGAGAACTTTGGATAATACCGAAGTCAAACAGATCGGTCTATAGTTCTCTGTTTTACTCTGATCACCACCCTTGGGAAGCGGTTTAACTATCGAGCATTTCCAGTCGTTCGGGACGGATCCTTCAGAGAGCGATCTATTGAAAAGGTTTGTCACAACTGGTGAGATGATAATCGATAGGGACTTGAGTATTAGTGGGTGAAGTCCGTCTGGCCTGGGGGGCTTTGCACCATTGAGGTTGACGAGTAGCTGATGTACTTCGACTGCATCACATTGTAGGCTGTCGAGCAAGACTGGCGCAACCTGTGCTGGTACTGGAACGGCCGCCGGTTTACTGGAAAATACAGTGAGGAAGTGCGTAGCCAGGGCGTCCGCGCGCTCCGCGCTTGAAATGAGTGTCTTCCCGTCTAAGCTCTCTAAGACCGGTAGGTCGTCTCCAGGTTTCAGTTGACGTTTCAAGTAGGCAAATATTCGCTTGGGTGCAGTTGTGGCCGAGGATGCTAGTTCCTCTTCGAACTGCCGGCGTTTCTTGATCTTTGCGGCGTTACATAAGTTACGCTGTTTCTTGTACACCGCGTAATCTTCATCACAACCCGAGCTGATGTATTTATCCCAAAGTTTAGAGCGTCGTCGCGCTAACTGTCTGTATTCCCTATCAAACCAATGCGGTTTGACAGGTCCGATTTTTGGATACTTAAGGGGAACGAACCGAGTACAGAGCGATTTAAGCTTCCCCTTTATTAATGACCACCACGCCTCAAGTGACGCATCATGTGGTAGTGTCCAATCAGTCTGACTTGCGGCTTGGACGAGTCCGTTGAAGTCCGTCTTCCATTATTAATTCAAGTCAAAATACGCTTTATACACCTAAATGGATGCGTTATCAGCATTTACACTATCACTGCGGATACACTAGATGAATGGGACCAGTTCAAAATACATAAACATGGATTGAAGAATTAAATAGTCAAATGTAGGTAGATGTCATTCAAGCAGCCGCAAGCTCAAATCATTTGTGACTTTCGTAGGATCGACAAGAAAGCGTGACAAATAAGGCAAGATTGTGTTACGATACGAAGAAGTGCGAGAGAATAAAATCTTAAATTTTGTGCGTGTGTAAACGACAGATAGTGTTTCTGAGAGAGCATTATTATGTAGCGGATGAGACCGGTCACTTAGGACCTTAGAAGAAAAGTTCATGTAAACGTCGAAACGCTTACAGGCAATAAAGTCAACTATGGCATCTCTAGGCAACGCGCCACATCTGGAAATATTAATCGATCGTACAATCAAAACATAGTCGTTTTGCAGCAGTCCAGAAATTATTACTGAGGAACAGTACAACCAGTAGGATAGTATACATGCAGTTACACATCTCAAACTTAAGCTTCGCGGTACGGAGAACTTCTTAAGTCAGAAAGCACAAAAAGATAACCTCCTGACCTTGTGAAAAGTCTCCAAAACGTGCATGGACCAAGCGAGGTTTTGTGGAAATTATACTCCAAGATATTCGACAGTGGATGAAATAGAAATGGTTTTGTCCTCCAAAGTTAGTAGAGGAGAGGTATCTAAAATTACTCGTAATTTATCAGGGGGAGAAATGAAAATACCACCTCGGTGCATTTCTCCAAGCATTAAAGCTTAAGGGACCTGGTTGAGGATCAATTCACAAGGACGTCTAAATATCATTTAAGCGTAGACGTCTCAATGGAGGGAGATCTGCACCCCAAGACAACATTGTCAGCATATTTACATCTAATGAATGTTAATGGTATGGGGAGACTTTCGACATATAAAGCGAGTAAAAGGAGTGAGCGGATTGCGCCCTGCAAAGCACGGGTCAGCGCGGAGCATAAAGGAGCTTTTTGCCGTTTAACTGGATAAGTTGCATACGATCAGTGAAATAGTCACGCAACAAGTTGCAAACATCAGGTTGGACACCGTTCAAATAAAGTAGGTTAAGCAGAACTGATCGGCCAAGACTCCCAAACATATTTGAATAATCAAGAAAAAGAAGTACGAACCTGCACCTTTTATCCAGCGCAGAGGCTATTGAATTCACAAGGTACGAGACAGCACCAAGCGTGGAGCGCTGGGGTCAACCCAAACTGGTAGACATCATCACCACGAGTGGCTATGGAAATTCGTTTCACTAGTAATGTAACTGACAAATCACAGTCTGTTGGATTCCACTGAGGCATGCCACAAGCCTCTAACTATTGCCTTGCTTTTAGCTGCCCCTGACTCTTATCAGCTGATATTTTACGGTGTGATTGATTGGACAATCGATCGTGTTACTTAACTCCCGTCCGACTGAATTGCTTAGCCAGTTACACTTCAGATAATTGTTGCCGGCATTTGGGCTTGTTTGGACGTCCGGTTTTAATTTGAGAACATACATTGCCAATGTAACTATATAATTTGTTCCCCTAACCCTTTGTAAAAATAGCACCGTAGCGCACTTCTGGCCTTCAATTCTGAATTGACCTGGGTGTCTTAAGCGTTGCTTGAATCCCCGGCCGGTTTATCAGTAACAAGTAGCTTATCGAGGACTTTTAAAAGCACGGAAGTACCAGTAATAGGCCGATACTTTTGAGGTTCCATTTTAGGAATTGATGTTATTCTTGCTGCCCTCCATCTCTCGGAAATGGCACCGGTCGTGAGACACTTGTTAATAATATTGGTCAGAGCTAATGTAACGAAATCGGCACACTGCTTCAAAACCACGGGTACTACACCATCAGGACCACTAGCTTTATTTGTATTTGTCTTCTTGAGTTCTCTGTTGGCATTAACTTGACCAAATAATGAAGGCGGGTAATGGAAAAGCGCTCGACAGAGAGGGACTAAACTCAGAATTGACTTTGTCAACATCCACGAATGCAGTACATCCAAAGATCATTTTATCACAGATTTGCTTCAATAGCCTCCAAAGCTCCCGGCCGTCACGGTTTATCAATACCGCTTCAATGTATAAACTCTTTAGTCTTGCTATTTCAGCTTTAATTACTAAACTCAGGCGTTTGAGTCAGGTGGTCGTATTGATCTTGTAAGCGTATTCATTTTTTCTTCGAAGAAAATCCATCTGGTTGTAGGGATATCATCTCGATACGCCAGCATAGGTGGAAGCAATTCACGTAACTCGTGAGATGATCGCATTGAAGTGATAGCTTTTCATCTGTAAAAATTGAAAAATCGGTTGAAGAAAGCATTTCTTGAAGTAGTGCGATAAGTTCCACCGAGCAATTACGTCCTCGGATAGTCCTGCATTGTTGTTTCGTCAATGCGGTATAGTTAGTTTTGCTGTAAATGGTAGGGCAAATCTTTGGCATACCATGGTCCGAGTTGCTTAGTGGTGCACGCTTTTGAATGGAAAACAAACGAATTTTGTTCGTATAAGCAACATCAAGCTGTGCGTCTT